AGAGGAGATTCTTGACTAGGTGGGAAGTGGGCCTAGAAGACATCACAGCTTTCTCTTAATGTTCAGATCCTACAAGAGTTTATACTTCATTGTCAGCTACACTTGCTGTATTTAAAGCAATAGGATATAAAAAACACCTTTTCATAGGTGGCTGAAAAGGATAGGGCTGGGGCTCAGAAAAATAGCAATATTTCTTGAAATCAGAGACAGTATCTTACTTGTCTTAGTATTTCCAGGACCTAGCACAGTGCCTGCCATGAAAAGGGTGCTTGGTTCATTAAACCCTTTTACTGTGAAGAAAAACAGAAGCATTTTTTTAGTTTCTCTCTGTGATTCTCTGGAGACTTTAGGCAGTCAGACCCTTTTTATCTATTATTTATTATTTAATTAAAATAATAATAATAATAATAAGTAGCCCCAGAGTTGTTGTTGTTGTTGTTATGTGCCATCAAGTCGGACCCGACTCACAGCGACCCTTCCTTGGGTTTCTGAGGCAGTATCACTACGGAAGTAGATTGCCCCATCTTCCTTCCGAGGAGTAGCTGGTGGGTTTGAACCGCCAGCCTCTTTACACAGACTCTTTAATTCAACATAATCTGTGGTCTTTGTCTTTCTCTTGGTTTATTTTATTATTGTTCCCTTCATTCTCTGTCATCTCCTTATATGCCCATTCTCACAGGGCACCCAGTTTAATGCGTTCAATATCTCTTTCAGCATATTCTGATTCCTAAAATATTCAGAGAGTTATGTGTTTTCAATTTCCATATATGATATTAAGCCACAGATCTCATTGTGTTCATTCCCAAACACTGTTTGCATTCAGTTTATAGATTTCTTTGCATTCTTCATTAAGGTAATTCCTAGATACAGTATGGTCAGGAAGGAAGTGAGGCAGTTCAGCAGGTTTGTTGTGGCCAGAGAGGGGCAGGGAAGTGAGTGGAGCAGTTTGGAACAACTAAGAGAGATGAACTTGTCTGTCAGTTTGTCATACTGTGGTGTTTGGTAAGACAGACTTGGAGAAGGAAGAGGCCATCCACTTCTCAAACAATTGGCCAGTAAAAACCTTATGAATAGCAGTGAAACACTATCTGATGTATTACTGGAAAACTTTATGAATAGCCCTGAAACATTGTCTGTTATCATGCTGAAAAATGAGCCCCTCAGGTCAGAAGGCAGTCAAAATACATCTGGGGAAGAACTGCCTCCGCAGAGTAGAACCAACCTTGATGTGGATGGAGGAAAGCTTGTGGGACCTCCATTTGCTGATGTGGCATGACTCAAGGTGAGAAGAAACAGCTGCAGATATCCATTAATAATCTGAATGTGCAATGTACAAAGTATGAATCTAGGAGAATTGGAAGTTGTCAAAAATGAAATGGAATTCATAAAGATCGGTATCCTAGGCATTGCTGTTGTTGTTGTTATTTGCTGTCAAGTCAGCCCCGACTCATAGCGACCCCTCCTTGGGTTTCCGAGGCAGTATCACTACGGAAGTAAGATTGCCCAACCTTCCTTCCAAGGAGTGGCTGGTGGGTTTGAACAGCCAGCCTTCTGGTTAGCAGTCAAGTGCCTTAGGTACTATGCTACCAGAGCTCCCATCCTAGGCATTAGTGAGCTGAAATGGACTGGTTTTGACTATTTTGATTCAATCATATGATCTACTATGCCAGGAATGACAAATTGAAGAGGAATGGTGTGGCAATCATCACAAAGAATATATCAAAGTCTATCCTGAAGTACAATGCTGTCAGTGATAGGATAATATCCATATGTCTATAAGGAAGACCAGTTAATACTACTATTACTCTAATTTACCCACCAACCACCAAAGCCAAAAACTAGGAAATTGAAGATTTTTACCAACTTCTGTAGTCTGAAATTGACCAAACATGCAATCAAGATGTGTTGATTATCACTGATGATTGGAATGCAAAAGTTGGAAACAAAGAAGAATCATTGGTAGTTGAAAAATATGGCCTTGATGATAGGAGTAACCCTGGAGATCACACAACAGAATTTTGCAAGACCAACAACTTGCTCATTGCAAATACCTTTTTTGAACAACACAAACAATGGCTATACACATAGACTTTCCCAGATGGAATACACAGGAATCAGATTGACTACATCTATGACAAGAGGCAATGGAGAAGCTCAGTATCTTTAGCCAAAACAAGGCCAGGAGCTGATTGTGGAACAGACCATTAACTGCTCATATGCAAGTTCAAGTTGAAGCTAAAGGCAATTTAAACAAGTCCACAAGAGCCAAACTATGTCCTTGAATATATCCATCCTGAATTTAGAGACCATCTAAAGAATAGATTTGAGGCATTGAACACCAATAACTAAAAACCAGGGGTATTGTGGGATGACATCAAGAACATCATCCATTAAGAAAACAAAAGGTCACTAAAAAGACAGGAAGGAAAGAAAAGACCAAAATGGATGTCAGAAAGATCTCTGGAACTTGCCCTTAATGAACAGTAGCTGAAGCAAATGGATGAAATGACAAGATAAAAGAGCTGAACAGAAGACTTCAAAGAGCAGCTGGAGAAGACAAAGTCTACTATTATAATGAAATGTGTAATAACCTGGAGTTAGAATACCAAAAGGGAAGAACACACTCAGCATTTCCCGAGCTGAAAGAACTGAAGAGGAAATTTAAGCCTCAAATTGCAATACTGAAAGATTCTATGGGCAAAATATTGAATGATGCAGGTAACATGAAAAGAAGATGGAAGGAACACACAGAGTCACTGTACCAAAAAGTTGATGTTCATCCATTTCAAGAGGTGGCATATGGTCAAGAACCAATGGTATTGAAGCAAGAAGTGGAAGCTGCTGAAGGAATTGGCAAAAAACAAGGTTTCAGGAATTGACAGAATACCCATTGAGATATTTCAACAAATGGATGTTGCACTGTAGGCACTTACACGGCTATGCCAAGAGATTCAGAAGACAGCAACTTGGCCAACTGACTGGAAGAGATCCATATTTGTACCCATTCCAAAGAAGGTGATCCCACAGAATGTGGAAATTATCGAATGATATCATTAATATCACATGCAAGTAAAATTTTACTGAAGATAATTTAAAAATGGTTGCAGCAATATATTGACAGAGAACTTCCAGAAATGCAAGCTGGATTCAGAAGCAGAAGTGGAACAAGGGATGTCATTACTGATGTCAGATGCATCTTGGCTCAAAGCAAAGAATACCAGAAAGATATTTACCTGTGTTTTATTGACTATGCAAAAGCATTTGATTGTGTGGATCATGACAAATTATGGATAACACTGAAAAAAAATGGGAATTCCAGAACACTTAATTTTACTATCAGGAACCTGTACATAGACCTGGAGGCTATAATTCCAACAAAGAGATACTGCATTATTTAAAATCAGGAAGGGAGAGTATTAAGGTTATATCCTTTCACCCTACTTGTTCAATCCATATTTTGAACAAATAATCCGAGAAGCTGGACTATATGAAGAAGAACATGGAATCAGGATTGGAGGAAGACTCATTAACAACCTGCAATATGCAGACGACACAACTTTGCTAGCTGAAAGTGAAGATGATTTGAAGCAATTACTGATGATGATTAAAGATTGAGGCTGTGGTATGGATTACATTTCAACAGAAAGAAAATGAAAACCCTCACACAACTGGACCAAATAAGCAACATCACAATAAATGGAGAAAAGATTGAAGTTGTTAAAGATTTCATATTACTTGGTTCCACAATGAACACTGATGGAAGCAGCATTCAAGACATCAGATGATGTACTGCACTGGGCAAATCTTCTGCAAAACACCTCTTTAAAGTGCTGAAGAGCAAAGATGTGTCCCTTGAAGACTAAGGTACACCTAGCCATGGTATTTTCAATTGCATCATATGCATGTGAGAGCTGGACAATGAACAAGGAAGACTGAAGAAGAGTTGGTGCTTTTGAGTTGTGGTGTTGGCGAAGAATACTGAACATACTGTGGACCACCAAAAGAACTTACAAATCTGTCCTGGAAGAAGTACAGTTGGAATGTTCCTTGGAAGAGAGAATGGCCAGACTTTGTCTCACCTACTTTGTTCATGTTGTCAGAAGGGACCATTCCCTGGAGAAGGATATCAGGCTTGGTAAAGTGGAGGGTCAGTGAAGAAGGGGAAAGTCCTCAATGAGATGGATTGACACAGTGGCTGCAATGATGGGCTCAAGTATAGCAAGCATTGTGAGGTTGCACAGGACTGGGCAGTGTTTTGTTCTGCTGTACACAGGGTTTCTATGAGTAGGAGCTGACTTGATGGCACCTAACAACAATAACACCCAGATTGGTTGCCTCTTTGTGAAAGAATTAGAGATGGTTATTGTTTTCTTCTTACTTCCTTTTACTTTTAAAATTTCTGAAGTTGTAAACATTTTTAACTAAGAACTATTTTAAACTGAAAAAACACTATATCTGGAAGTAATAAAAGTGATAGTAGTATACTGACGCCTCAGTGTATAAAAAAATAAAAGTCATTTTAGACAGCTAGAACAGTGGAGTGTTTAAGAGCTGAGCCCTGGAGTTAGGTAAGACCTGGAACCAAATTCCAGTGACTCTGCCAGTGACACTGCATATTACATTGATCAAGTTACTTCACATCTCCAAACCTCTGTTTTTTGTTTGCTTTGACCTGTGAAGTGGGAAAAATAATACCTCTACCTTAGGTGTTTTGTGATATTCAGAGGATGCATCAAATACTCTCAGCATGTGATCTGGCACATAGTGACTACTCAAACAAGGGAGTTGGTATTGTCGTTCTAGAAGTTGTTGTTTTTATTATATTTCTAGAAGTTCAGTCACTGGGCAGTAGTATTAGCTAATGGCATCAGAATCTTTTTCGTGTAAATAATGGATTATTCAAAGTGAGATTTAGTTCTCTTTGTTCTCTAGATCATCCATAAAAGAACATTTGAGAGAAGTCTGTGCACTTTTCAATTATTTTTTAATGTGTCTCTTACCTTTGCTTTTATCATCAGTTCCTCATGCTTATGGATTAGCTCTTCATTGTCTGAAAGTGATGAACCTAGATGTTGTTCTTGTAAATCTCTTATAGTTTTCTGAAACCAACAAGTCACCTAGGTAAGAATCAACAAAGCAGGATGAAATTTCAAGTAACCAGAATAAATAAAAAATGGAAAATATTTCCTCAACTTTTCAAAGCTTAAGCTACTTAAATATTTTTAAGTATTTATATATATATTCATTTAATGTACTAAAATAATATATATAATTGGGTTTTCCTTTTTTCTTCATTTAAACCTCTATATGCTTGAGGGAAAAACTGTAATCTCAGAAAAGTATGAAAATGATTTATCAGTTGACTGGATTACATGACATGAAGAAAATAATTCAAAATCTCCTAACAAGGAAGAGCCACAGTGAATTCCCACACAGTCCATAAATCATGCATTCTCTTAGAATACAAGTCTCCTTTCCTGGATAACAATAGAATCTGAATATAGTTACATAGATCTGTATGAAGATATTAAATAGTATATGTAGAATCATATTCTGTGCTATATAAACATAGTGTAAAAATAGTTAGCTGCAATTGCTGGAAATCTGTGTTAAGAAAATAAATGGAGAAGTTGTTAAAATTCCATTAACGTCATAAATGGCTCAGGGCACCACTCATATTCATTTAGACTACATTTACAATATGTGTCATACACAATGGTAAAACAACAAACAGCAAAGAACGTGAAAGAAGTATACATTTTTAAATGATGACACGACTTGACTTGGGACTGATGGCATGGGCCCCTGAATGAAGATTCTATACCCTAATTAAGGAAAAGGGCTTGGAGTTTAACTCTCAAATCCTGTACATCATTATCCTCATGGTCACATCATAGCTACTGGTTTTCTATGCGTGAGATCCGACTTGATGGCAATGAGTTTAGTTTTTTTGGTTTACTACTTTGCTAGTTGCCTTTCAGGCATTGTTATAAGTTAAATTATATCCTCCACAAAATACGTTCAAATCTTAACTCCTGGTACTTGTGACTGTGACCTTATGCAAATATTGTTGTTGTTAGGTGCTGTCAAGGTGATTCCAACTCATACTGACCCTATTAGGTACAAAAGAATGAAACACTGCCCAGTCCTGCTCCATCCTCACAATCCTTGCTATGCTTGAGCCCATCTTTGCAGCCACTGTGTCAATCCATCTGATTGAAGGTCTTAGCCTTTTTTCTGACTCTCCACTTTATTAAGCATGCTATCCTTTTCCAGCGACTGCTCCCTTCTGACCACATGACTAAAGCAGGTGAGACGAAGTCTGGCCATTCTCACTTCTAAGAAGCATTCTGGCTGCACTTCTTCCAGGATAGATTTGTTGGCTCTTCTGGCAGTCCATGGGATTTTAAGCATTCTTTGCCAACGTCACAATTCAAAGGTATCAATTCTTTTTCAGTCTTCCTTATTCATTGTCTAGCTTTCACATGCATATGAGGCTATTAAAAACACCATGACCTGGATTAGGCACACTTTAGTCTTCAAAGTGACATCTTTGCTCCTCAACACTTTAAAGAGGTCATTTGCAGCAGGTTTGTCCAGTGCAATAAGACATCTGATTTCTTGACTGCTACTTCAATAACTGTTGATTATGAATCCAAGTAAAATGAAATTTTTAACAATTTCAATCTTTTCTTCATTTGTCATGGTGTTGCTTATTACGCAAATAAGATCTTTTAAAATATGATTAAAGTTAACATAAGGTCATATTGGAGTAGGGTGAGTCCTAATCCAATATGACTCACTCACTGCTATTGAGTTGATTCCAACTCATAGAGACCCTCATTGCGTTTCCAAGGCTGTAAATCTTTAAAGAAGCAGACTACCCAATCTTTCTTCCATGGAGTGGATGGTGGGTTTGACCCAACAACCTTCTGGTTAGCAGCCAAATGCCGTACTACACCACCAGAGCTCTTTTATCCAATATGACTACGTTGTTGTTGTTGTTATGTGCCGTCGAGTCGGACCCAACTCATAGCGACCCCTCCTTGGGTTTCCAAGGCAGTATCACTACGGAAGTAGATTGCCCCATCTTCCTTCCGAGGAGTGACTGGTGGGTTTGAACCGCCAGCCTTCTGGTTAGCAGCCAAGTGCCTTAGTCACTATGCTACCAGAGCTCCCAATATGACTACAGTCCTTACAAAAAGAGAAGAGAAACAGAGACAAAGACACAAAGAGAAGACAGCCATGTGAAGACAGAAACTGGTATTAGAGCTATGCTGCCACAAACCAAGGAACACCTGGGGCTACCAGACACTGGAAGAGGCAAGGAAAGATCTTCCCCTAGAGTCTTCAGAGAGAGCATGGTCCTTCCAACACCCTGAATTCATCCTTTAAAACTGTGAGAGAATATATTTCTGTTTTAAGTCACCCCATGCGTAGTACTTTGTTACAGCAGCCCTAAGAAACTAATATAGTCATCATCTCTATTTCTCTCAACAACTTATTTTAAAGACAATGTGACTGAGGTTCAGAGAGGTTAACAACTTATCCAAGGCCACATAGCAAATGGTAGAGAAAGGATTTGTCTCCACATGGACTTGATCCTGAAGTCCAAGCTTGTTCCGCTGCATGCTACTGCTATTGTTGGGTAGCCTCAAGATCCACAGTCCTGTGATTAGTAGGGAATAACTTCAAACCTGAAAAATGGATTGCAGCAGTCCATTCAAAGTGTAGGGATTGCCACAGACTTACACTATTTTTTTCTTCAGCCTAAACTCTCCTGCCTGGGACAGCCTTAGGATTTCTCTAAAATTTATAAAGTGGAGAAATGAGTGGAGCAGGTGGCTAAGAAGAAAGCTAGGTTATATGTGAGGTTCCACACAATAAATGTACACCACACATGTGAACAATGCCATGTCATAGAAGTAAGAGTTAGAGAGTCACCTAGAAAAAGGCATTCTATGACCATTACAGAGCTGATATCGCAAACCTGAAAATGAGATAAAAAGGTCTGCACCAACCCTTAACAGTTTCCAGCATAGAATAGGCAGTAAAATAAGGGGCAGGAGGGTTTCTCTAGCTTTCTGCTAGTTGGAAATCTTTGTTAATGAGCATTTCAGCCCATCATCCGTGCAAAGAAAAGCTTAACAATGATCCAGTCACTGTAAGTAGTCACTGTTTTCATATGAAATACACTTCATTTTCTTCAAAATACTTGGTAATCTATGTATAATATACATATCATCTAGCCCTTATTTCAAGTATCATGTTTAAGGATTCACAGTTTTTTTAAGATAGTATATCTTGCTGGTGTTTTAATTAGAACTATATGATATATATAATGTGCATTAAATAAAACCCACAGAATATTTTTATTAACAAGAGCTATAAAATGGATCCATTAATGCATTTAATTTTTATAAAAAAAAATAATTTCTCACAAAAGATTCAGTGAACCTGTATAAAAATCCAACTAGAGGAATTATTTAAGGATTTCATCAAAGCAAAATGGATCAGGAATATGTTAGCTTGCAAGAGATCATTTATTTTGTTAACTCATGGAAATGAATTTTATTCATTCTTAGCTAAAGTGAGAGGAACTGAGAATCTTAACAATGCATTGGATAGTTAATATAGAGTCTGAGTGAACAAAAAATGGGTACAAACAGGTGTTCCCTAATCTCTAAAAACAGGTGAGAAGTCTGAACCCCAGATAATCCTATTAAATTTCATGAGTCAAAGACTTGTCATCTAGCACATGCCAGCAGTGATGAAAGCTGGTAAGGAGTGAGTTGTTTTGATTTTTTAAGGTATCTAATAACCACAGTCCCTAGATTTGGAAAATACTATTCCAACCCCCAAAGGACATTATTCTTATAAGGGAGTATGCATATTTCCTCAAGATCTATGCTGATAATCATTATAGCCTAGTTACATATCTGCCTATAAAGCATCCTGGTTCTCTAGAGTGATACATTTTTACTACTAGATAAACCCTGCAAAGAAACATAAAAATAAATTGGCATCAACTCAGAAGTAAGTAGATCATGGTGAAGGTGTTACTTGTCATCATGAGGCATTCACGCATATGAGCAGCTTCTATGATCAGATTTACCCTGTGTGCTATGGGATGCACACAGAGTGGGCTCTCAGTCCCCCTGATGCTAAAAGTAAGTGCCCTAAATAACTGAGAGTATATCAACCATAATACTCTGCCACTCGGTAAATAAATCAGTCATTGTGTCCAGTGAGTAGTTACCGCAGACAGCTGCATAGATATTCCAAGTGCACTTTTTATAAGCTTTTAAAATATATCAGCTGCTTTCCAAAAGCCTGAGTGGTAAATTCAGTAAATGATGCATCATGGCATTTCAGTAGAACATGGTCCCTGCAAAAGGATGAGAACAAGTGTCAAGAGTTGAGAGGATGTAGAAAGGAAGGAAGAACAAAAGGCATTCCTAGTATCTGCTGGAAATCCTTCTGGTCAATGCAGGATTAAGAGGAAAGAACAATTTTCCTCTCTCTTCCCAGTTTCTACTTTTCAACTTGACCTGAGTGATGTGTGTACAGTTATCCCACAAGTTTGACATGACATGACATTCTACGTACTCAGTAGTACTGAGGGGAGTTAGAACTAAGGCAGAGAAGGAATGGGGCTTTTTTTTTTTTTTTTTTTTTTTGCAGGGAGGACATTTCTCTTCTTTTATTTTGAGAAAGATAAGCCGGCAAAGATGTAAAGAAAGAGCAATCAGAGATGGTCAGTGAAAACCAAGAGATGCCTTGGAAGTTATACTTGTACTGTTCAATATGGTAGCCACTAACCAACCACCTTTGGCTACAGAGTATTTAAAATGCGGCTAGTCCAAATTGAAATGTGCTATAAGTATAAAATAGATTTCATAGATTTAGTATCAAAAAACAAAGATATTTCATTAAGAATTTTTATATTGCTTACATGTTGAAATAATAATATTTTGCAGGTATAGTGACATAAATAAGGAGCCCTGGTGGAGCAGTGGTTAAGCATTCAGCAATTAATGGAATGGTGGTAGTTCAAACCCACTAGCTGTTCCAGAGGAGAAAGATGAGGTAATCTGCTTCCATAAAGATTTACAGC